TAAACAGTATATAAAATGAGAACAATTAAGTCCTCCAGAGAGTTGCTTTGAATATAAAGTTGGAAAGTTGTAACACATAGGATGAGTGTTAAAAGTTTACATGTTACTGCAACAGTTGTCAAACCTGATCATGATTTTCTATAATCTGAGCATCTTATTAAGATGTAGGGGAGGCTGCAAAAATTAAGGCCAGTTTCAATGCACAGCTAGAACCAGAGCTTAGGGAGTGGAATGTGGATCACACACTCTTCAACCCCTCCCCCATAACCCCTTTCCACTAGCCACCTGCTTTTGTGTGACCAACCATCTCTATCCTATGAGAAAGTCATTTTGAGAACCTTAAATTTTAGAAGCATACCTGGCTCTTACTAATCTAGGATAGTAAGCACACCCATGCACACTCACACACAGAAGAGAGAGAAGGGTGGGGGAAGGGGATACACCCTTAACCCTTGTTCTTTGTACTGTACATCCAAACCCATCATGAGAGGACATAAAGGACACTGTGAAATGCTTCCATGCCATCTCCCTGAATATGATGTGCAAAGCCCACGAGCTCTTATAGAGATTGCAGAGTCCAGCGGACAAGACAGCAAACTGTGAAGCTTAGTGGAAAGGAAACAAGTTTCCACACACTTTCTCATTTGGGGCAGGCTGCCCATGGGTGGATGGGTGATCAGACTGCATACTCTATTGCCAGTTTTCCACTTTACTGGTTTATGAGTAACCATGTTGGTAGAGAGAGAAATGCATGCATCTGGATTAAATTAGAGGCAGTTTCTCTGCTGGAACACATCTGTGATCTGCAACAATCACATGCTGAGAGGACTGCTGAAATTCAGCGGGGGGGGGGGGGAGACACATGAGTTCAGCAGCAGCAGCACTAGCACTGGAACAGACAAACACCAGAACTACATCGCTGCATCCAAGGTCAACAAGGAGGCATACTAAGAATTACTTGCAAGCAAATTACCTAGATTCTTATTTTGTTGGGGAGAGGGGGAATGAATTCCTTCCTCTTCCCAATCTTTCACACACTTCAAATTCCAGAGATAAGCCTCTTTCACCCAAAACAATAGGTAAAACTAAAGTGGGAGGAAGGGGGATCTCAAAGGGGGTGGGGTGATGGTCAGGCAGCACTTATGAAGAACTCAACCGTTAAACTAAAGGGCTTCCAGATTTGGAGGGAAACAAATCTGGCCTCTGCACAGTACAAGGGGATGGAGCGTCTTCCAAAAAGGATCAGCAAAGGGGAAACACTTTAGCAGTTAATTTGCTTATCTCCTTGAACGCCTATATGGACGCCCCTGCTGAGCACCTGAGGGCCCTGTTCCTGCCTCTTTCCACCTGGCCCAGGGCGGAGCCTGACAGGCCTCTGAACAGCAGAGATGGTTCTTTCTTTAAAATGTTTTTAAATTATTCTTTTACCCTTTTAAATTCTTTTTTAGCATTGGGGTGGGATAAATGTTTAGTTGGGGTTAGGGATTTGTTTAATTTTAGTAAGATTGTAACTTTTTATTATTTTTAATTTCTATTGTTTTATTTGTTTTTTGTATAGGTTGTATTTTGTTTTTAAGGGGCGGGGTCAGGGCTGGCTGGGAGTGGGCCCCAGCCAACATAATGGCTGGGGCAGGTTCCATGGGGGGGGGTGCACTGGGACACCCGATCTCAGTGATCATGGGTAGTAGGAGGAAGAGTTACGCTAAGACCAGACCACGTTATTACCGAGGAAGCAGATTTAGTCGCTGTTTGAGGACTATCCCTGCCTCCAGGTCTGGTCTTGACTGGATGGATACTGGAATGAGCAAGGGAGACCCACATGACCTGAAGGTGCTGCTGTGCAATGCCAGGTCAATGATTGGTAAGACCACTGCCATCAAAGACTTGATCGTAGATGGAGGACTTGATCTGGCATGTGTAACAGAGATCTGGTTGGATGAAGCATGTGGGCCTGTCCTTGCCGCTGCTTGTCTACCAAGTTTCTATTACGCACAGCAACCCAGGTCATGTGGGCGGCGGCGGCGGGGGTTGCAGCAATTTTTAGCAAGTTATTAGCATGCACCAGGCGTCCTATTGGAAAGACCCAGTTTTCTGAGTGCATGTTCTGGAGGTTGGGCAATGGGGCAGTACAGGATTCCTTTTGGTGTACCAACCTCCCCGCTGCACCAAGGATTCCCTGCCTGAGCTGCTTCAGGTTGTTGTGGATGTTCTCCTGGAGACACAGAGTTTGGTTGTCCTGGGGGATTTTAACATCCACGCCGACACAACGTTACAAGGGGCCTCTCGGGACTTTGTGGAAAGCATGGCCTCCACAGGGCTGTCCCTGAATAAGTTTTGCCCAACTCATAGTCGCGGACATGCATTAGACCTGGTGATCACCTCTATGGATGTGGGTGATCTGACACTACGTAAAAGTGAAACAAAAGAAGTGCCATGGTTGGATCACTTCCTGGTGCAACTGGACTTCCATGACCCTTCCCCTCTGCAGGAAGGTGGGACTGATTTGGCTGGTCTGCCCCCACCACTTAATGGATCCAAATGATTTCCAGAAAGTTGTAGGGGATGTTTTATCCCATGTTGATGACCTTTCAGCTGATTTCCCTGGTGGCCCTCTGGAATGTGGAGTTAACCAGGGCTATTGACTGTCTAGCTCTGAAGCACCCTCTCTGATTGCATGGAGCCTGGACAGCCCCATGGTTTCCCCCGGAGCTGAGGGCAATGAAACAACCACTGAGATGGCTAGACTGCCAGTGGCGGAAAACTCATTCTGAATCTGACCGGACACGGGTTAGAGCTCAACATTGAGCCTACCAAGTGGCAATAGCAACGGCGAAGAGGACCTTCTTCACCTCCTCTATTGCATTTGCAGAAAACAGCAGCAGGAGACTCTTTCAGGTGGTTTGCAATTTAGCGGTACCACTTGAGCCATCGGTAAGGGCCCCAAGATCTCCTGCAATGATTTTGCAAGGTTTTTTGCAGATAAAATCACTCAGATTTGGAAAGAGGTAGACTCCACTGTGGGAACAGGGCTGGGGCGGGAGAGTGCTGGAGTCCTGTCTAGTCCAAGTTGTGTGGGATCAATTCCAATCTGTTACCTCCGAGGATGTGGACAGGCTGCTTGGACGAGTGAAACCAACCACCTGTCTCCTTGATCCTTACCTGTGCTGGGCTGTGTTCAGAAAGTGGTGTTGGGGGGATGAGTGTTCAGACATCTGGGCTCTCATTTGTGGGGTGCCTCAGGGTTCCGTCCTCTCCCCCATGCATCTACATGAAGCCGCTGGGAGAGATCATCAGGGGGTTGGGGCTGGGTGTTCATCAGTATGCGGATAATACCCAGCTCTACCTCTCTTTTAAATCTGAATCAGTGAAGGTCCTGTGTGAATGTCTGGAGGTGGTTGGAGGATGGATGGCGGCTAACAGATTGAGGTTGAATCCTGAAAAGACAGGAGTACTGTTTTGGGGAGACAGGGGGTGGGTGGGTATGGAAGACTCCCTGGTCCTGAATGGGGTAACTGTGGCCTCTGAAGGACCAGGTGTGCAGCCTAGGAGTCATTTTGGACTCACAGCTGTCCATGGAGGCGCAGGTCAATTCTGTGTCCAGGGCAGCGGTTTACCAGCTCTATCTGGTATGAAGGCTGAGACCCTACCTGCCCGTGGAATGTCTTGCCAGAGTAGTGCATGCTCTAGTTATCTCCCACTTGGACTACTGCAATGCACTCTACGTGGGGCTACCTTTGAAGGTGACCCGGAAACTACAACTAATGCAGAATGCGGCAGCTAGACTGGTGACTGGGAGTGGCCACCAAGACCACATAACACCGGTCCTGAAAGACCTACATTGGCTCCCAGTACATTTCCGGGCACAATTCAAAGGGTTGGTGCTGACCTTTAAAGCCCTAAACAGCCACGGCCCAGTATACCTGAAGGAGCATCTCCACCCCCATCGTTCTGCCCAGACACTGAGGTCCAGCGCCAAGGGCCTTCTGGCGGTTCCCTCACTGTGAGAAGGAAGTTACCAGGAACCAAGCAAAGGGCCTTCTTGGTAGTGGTGCCCGCCCTGTGGAATGCTCTCCCAAAAGATGTGAAATAAACAATTATCTGACTTTTAGAAGACATCTGAAGGCAGCCCTGTTTAGGGAAGCTTTTAATATTTGATGAATTATTGTATTTTAATATTTTGCTGGAAACTGCCCAGAGTGGCTGGGGAAAACCAGCCAGATTGGCGGGGTAGAAATATCTCCTGCCATGAGTTACGGAACAAGGCAGTTCACGAGCAAGTCCAGGATTGTTTTTGGAATTTGTTTTGGCACAATGCTAGGCAATAATCAATCTGCAAACAGCCAACAACAAAAGCAACATTTGATTAACAGTTACTGAAAGACAGGGCAGTCGCCTTTTAGAGAAGAGAGAAAATAATCCTACAAATTAAATGTTTTTAAAAAAGGGACTCCCTCCATGGAACCAGAACTGTATTAGTTTAGATTCATGATACAGCATTTTGGTCTATTAATGAATGTAAAACAACAAGAAAAGAGAACAACACAGCATCTAAAGCTGTGATTTTTCAAACAGACTCTCAAGTATCACATACTTTGCAACCTAGAATAAGCTCAACAAGGGAGCAAAGAGGAAAGATATGCAGAACTATCTCTCCCAAATCTCAAGTTCCTTAGTGAGTATCAATACACACACTCATCACTATATGCACTACTAGGGTGGGAAAATGAAAAGTTTTTCAGATCACAAATGCTTTAGTTTGAAAAGTCTTGGAAAATGTGTACCCTGAAGAACCTCACATAGCAGGCCATCAGTGTCCACAGAACTTCATTTCCTCTCTCCCCACCCACCATACACACACAAAGCATAAGGGGGGCACTAGACAAGAGGAAATAGCCCTAGTGACACATAATTGCTCAGTACAACAAATATCAAACAGGGAGGGCCAGATAGGCGGGGTATAAATAATAAATTATTATTATTATAAATGAAGAACTTCCTACCTGGAAGATAAAGTGGCAAAATCTCCTCCATCAAGAAGCCTAATTTTGCAGAACAGAACCCCATTCACAAAAGGAACAGCAGTCAGCTCCTCTAAAGTGAAACTGGTTTGAAATTTGAACTTCTTCTTCTTCATCAAGAAAGCCATGGGCAAATTCAAACAAGACCAAAAAACACAAAGTCTAGAAACTCCCAAAAGATAAAGAGCAAAAATATCTATAGAGTGCAGCAGCTCCAAATATAAACAATAAAGATGTTTCAAAGAAGGTGAAACCACAATGTAAGAAATAAATCCACAGTCAATCCAGTTTACAAAAATAGAGCACGGAAATCTCAGTTCAAATGCAATGGCACCCTAGCTTTAAATGAAAAATCCTCTTCTCTCTTTGGTGGTCTGATCTGGCTATAGTATCATCGCTGGTGCAGACTTCAGGTAAGGAGGAGGGCAAGTGAAGTCTCTGGTTCATCTCCAAGGGTAGAGGGGGAAATCCAAGCTCCAGACCAGCAGGAGCTCCCTTGATGTGGTGCTTGGCTTCTCTCAGGGCTCCTCTTGACAGTACTGCTAGTTTCTTTCTGAGCTGCTGCACAGCAGTGTCAACACTTCACAGTTCCAGTCTCCTCCCCTTGTGCAAAAGCTTCACGTGGACAACTGCATCAGCAGCATATGTTGTGGCTCCCACAGGTTTCATGCAAGCCTACAGAAGGGAGAGAAGGGGTTAGTCTCAGCATAGTATCCGCTAGTGTCAGTTCCTCCCTCTGCCCCCCAATCTAATCATAGATAAAAGAATATTCAAGTATTATCCCATATCTATCTATAAATAAATTCAAGATGCCTTCATCACTATCCTTTACTTTACATGCCAAATGCTTCTGCAACCTGCTTGAATAGTTTTTATTTTTCTGTACTGTATACATAGAGGATTAGATCTTCAGGTTATCTACAGCAAGCAGTCTCAGAAAAGGATGGATGCTCATAGGCACATTTGCATGTATGCATGTGTTCTCTCTCTCTCTCTCTCTCTCTCTCTCTCTCTCTCACACACACACACACACACACAGAGTCTTCCAGTGAAAAGGATGTTCAAAAGAGAAATAAGTAGTCCACAGATGGCTGCTAGATATCAGACTGTGGCGTATCAAGGATAGGCACTTTCCATCCACCACACCTCGCCTTTCAGTCAGCTTTGCCACAACAAGAAGGAAGCAAAAAACATGTCAAGTAATGTGACCAGGGTTTTACAAAACATGGTTATGAGGCTTGCTTTTCCTAGGCCTTAGACATGCCTTTACATCAGGGGTATAAGGCTCAGGGTTTGTTCAGCCCATTAACTCACTGAAGAAGACAAAACAGATAACTGGCTGTGGGCACAGTCAGTTTCAAAAGCAACTCAAATTAGAGTTAAAATGTAATGAGACAGTAATGAGACAATGAGCTTGCCAAAAGCCAAATTAAAATTTATGAAATTATTTTTCAAGGACATAGCCTACATGGCAGTTCTTAAGATACTTCCAGCATCTTTTCCCTATCCCACTCTGCCTTGATGAATGCTTCTAAAGTTCAATGTCAAGAGTTCATTCTGATCTGTAGTTATGTATCCCGCCTGCTGTGTTCAGCTATATTTTAAATAAACAGCTGACCCAAGTGACTCCTGGGACTTCCTCACCAACTGCCCTAACCACAGCCCAGTTATCCAACCCCTCCAATATTAGCCCACGTTGAATACCCCTTCCACAGACAGCAGCAACATTTTCCCAATCCAAGTGATTCTCCCAGATTCTCAGCTTTCCTCAGCTCACTGACCTAGTATTCCCATTAGACATATTAAGTGCTTACAACCCAATTCACCAACAAATCCCATCCAAGTAGCTTCATCTGTAACCCACGAACATTCCACCATCACAAACTTCACTTCCCCGCCAGCTTGTAAAACAAAATGGCTAACCACTTGCAATAGGAATCACCTCCCTCTCACTCCCACCCCTCCTATATCAGGTCCTCCTCAGCTTCTACCCCAACTATAGAGTTGCCAAGTCTCCAATATCAGACCTGACACAGGAGATCTGGGGTAACTCTGATGGGGCAGGAGACAGAATTTAGTGGACACACAGTCTATATAGCAACCCATTTTCAAGTCCACTTTTACTATCTACACATATTTTTATAGCCCTTTCAGTGAACATTGTGCTGAATTGACATGACCCATTATTTATTCTGAACAAGGGATAAAGCTATACAGTCCTCAGGACAGATGAGGTAAAAAATAGTTGTGGGTGTCCTGTTTCCCACCCCTCATAATCTTACTCCCAAGCAAGTGAAAGATACATCAGTGTCTACTGATGAACCAGATGCCAATTTCCAGTGGACCATGTAACTTCTGCTGGTTTGGTGTGATTTTTGCAAATAATGTTTCCCTGGGTGGACTTTGGCCGGATCCAGTTATATTCTCTTTACATTTCTATGCAATGAGCACCTAGTGAGGATTACTGAAAACAGTGTAGCTAGGCCTTAAAGATATCCTGATTATTCAACCCTTACTCTGCAAATTTAGAACACATTGGAGGACCGTGCTGATTCTTATAAAGAAAAAAGGAGGCCGTACCAGATTAAAATCGGCTTATCCTTGTTATAACTATTTGCTTCTGAGACCCTGGAGAGGAAACTAAACCTATGAAACTACAGAATCAACCTCTCACAGGCAATCAAATCCTCAAATATATGTACAATCTCACCTTGGTTGTAGAACGCCCTGTAATTCAGACGTTTTGGCTTCCGAATGCCGCAAACCTGGAAGTGATTGTTCCAGTTTGCGAACGCTCTTTTGGAACCTGAACATCCGACAGGGCTTCCGTGGCTTCTGATTCGCTGTAGGAGCTTCCTGCAGACAATCAGAACCCGTGATTTGATTTTCAAACATTTTGGAAGTCGAATGGACTTCCATAATGGATTTCATTCGACTTCCAAGGTACTATATTCTTAGACATGTTCTGGAGTAGCAGCTGTTGTAGTGCAATCCAAGTAGGGCTGGGTGATATATTGATATATCATCCAAAACTGGTTTGAAGTCCATATTGTGGTATCAGTTGCATTGTTTTTAACCTGGAAATATATCACAAATTATGTCTGTGTATGTGTTATGCAAAACTCATAATGTAGGAAAAAATGTGAAGCTAGCCAATGCTTCTCTTGATTCCTGCAGCCCCTGTTAACTCTGCCAGCTCAGCTTTCCCCTGCCTCATGCAGGGGGCAGTGAATCACAAGAGCAGGCGCTGAAAAAATCACGATGGAAGAAAAAGACACGTCTATTTCAAAGTAAGCCCCAGAGTGTTCAACAGCCTTACTACTAGGTTGGTTTGCATAGGACTGCAGCGTTCTTACATTCCAGCAATTCTAAACAGGCTAAGGAGGAAGGTCACCTGGACACAGGGATATTTATTTCCAAACATGCCCATGAGTGTACAGCTTAGGAGTGAGCACAGGAGTCCTATAGCACCTTAAAGACCAACACAACTTACAAGAGTAAATCTTAAAGTACAATTCATTCAAAAGCAAGTGCTTTAGAGCTCCACTAGTTTCAACATTAACTTTAAAAAGTGTGTCACTTTGGCTAGATCATGGCTATAATGTTTGTGTGTCTGTAGGTACACAGAACTATATACATGCACAATATGTAATTAATTTATTTTTACACACTTTTTATTGCTGAAGCAATAAAGAGCAGACTACATCAAAACAAAACAGGCAAGAATACACACGTACACATCCCTAACTAAGTGGTGCAGCAATTCTCACAAAAAGGCTTGGGCAAATAGATACCAAGCTTGTATCAAGAGCTTAAATAAGTCAGCACCAGGCATATCTGAGAAGGGAGAGAATTCCATAAACTGGGTGCCTGTACTATGAAGGCCCTCGCTCACGGTGCTACATATTGGATTTCAGTTAACTGTGGCAGAGTTTAGAGAGTCTTCCCTGTGGACCTTAAAGCAAGGGCACATTTATACAGGAAAATTTGTTCTGCCAAGAACACAATACACATTTGTGGACACCACCACACATGTATCTTACCTGTACACACAAGATATCTATGAATGGGTGTGTTGTATAAATTCACATACGCACATGTAGGTGCATATGTACACACATCCACACATAAAAAGTGTTTAGATAAAACTACACAGGTGTATGTGTTCGTATCTACACTCTACAAAAACAACGCTGGATCCAGACTTCACCACACTGAGACTAAACCCCCTGAAATCAACAGAGCTAACCTAAGCCCCACTGATTTCAGTGCAGTCTGGCTCTAAGTATGATCAAGCCTGATCCAACCCACAAATTAGACTGCATACACAGCATACATTTAAAGCACATCCTCAACCACCACGGCCAAAATAAAATAAAATCTTGAGAACTGTAATTTAGCCTCACAGAGCTACAATTCCCAGCACCCTTAAATTACACTTCCCAGGATTTATTTGTACAGGGCGAAGAACTTTGAATGTATACAGCTTTACACACTTTTGGACTTAGGCTATGCACACAGCATATTTTAAAGCACATTCTCTCCTAAAAAAAGAATGATGAGAACTGTAGTTTGCCCCTTGCAGTGCTTCAATTCTCAGCATAGCTGTCAACTTTTCCATTTTCTTGCGAGGAATCCTATTCGGAACAAGGGAATTTCCCTTTAAAAAAGGAAACGTTGACAGCTATGATTCTCAGCATACATAAAATACATTTCCCAGGATTATTTGGGTATTCACATGAGTGCGCTTTAGATGTATACAGCTTTACACTCTTTCGAACTTAGGCTGCATACACAGCATACATTTATAGCACATTCCCACCATACCTAATAATAATACGCGTTGTTCATCCCTCACAGAGCTACAGCCAGCAACCATAAACTACCTTTCCAATGATTACCGGGAGATGTATACAGCTTTGCACAAAGTGTGAATGTGTTTCAAGCGCTTCAGGCACACGGGCCACCCGACGGGGGAAAATAAAACCCCTCTTTCCCGCCCCATACAAGAGGGGGCGGAAGAAGGGGAGAAATAAAAGCTGGTCTTAAACTCTCCCACCCCCTCCGCTCGCCCCATACAAACTCTCCCCACACAACAAGAGCCGTGAGGAGCCCTTCGCCCTTCACTTTCCTCCTAACCCCCCCACCCCGACTGACCCTCAACCTCACCCCATGGCTCTCGCTCGCCTCCCCCTCAGGCCCCTCTTAAAATAACGCCCCCTCCCAGGAGAAAGCTTTCCACTCGCAACCTATTTTTTTTTTAAAAAAAAAACAACCCTTCCCCCCACTCCAAAAGACAGATTGACCCCCCACACTCCCCCACGATCTCTTCCGCGGGGAGAAAGAGGCCCCCGCGCAAGGACCTCCCCCCGCTTTTACCTCAACACTGCCACCCACCCCCCAACCCAAGACCGACTCGCTCTCACCTCCCTCCTCTTCGGCGCTGGCACCGCTACGCCGAATGCGCCCGCTGCGCCGACAGCGTAACGCGAGGAGGCGGAAGGGGATGGAGGAGCGGGAGGAGGCGCCGCCTGCGCTTGTGCAGTCAAGGCATTCGCTCGCTCGCTCGCGCTCTGTCTCCGTCCATAAATTGGGCGCGAGTGCGGGGGGGGGGAGAGGAAGAAGTGCAGCCGCTCTCCGAGGATTGGGCAGTGCTTTTCTCCTCCCCCCCTCGCCACGCCCCCAAGAAGAAGTAGAAAAAAACGAAGGGGCAGGAAGAAGTCCGGTTTCCAATTGGGCGAGTGGATGACTTTAGCGGCGAAGCGATTGGAGAAGGGGTGCCTTCGCTCAAATGAAAGGGCCCGCCTCCTCTTCCCCAATACCTCAGGGTTTTATGGAAATGGCGGGAAAACGAGGCATAAGGGGATGGATTGAGAGGGGGAAAGGAAGGATGAGGAAGAGAAAAAAGTGTTTCTCAAGCAAGGGCCTTACTTTGATTTTTTATTATTATTATTATTATTATTATTATTATTATTAAAATTTATACACCACCCTTTATCTGACAAACACAATATAAAAATACAAATATAAATACTTATTTTTGTAATGAACATCTCTCCTCCAGAGAGATGAATGTATCATTTAAGCATTTTATTTATTGAATATTTCCCACTTTTTCCTCCAAAGGAGAAGAAGAGATGAGTTTGGATTTGATATCCTGCTTTATAACTACCCTAAGGAGTCTCAAAAGGGACGCGGGTAGTGCTGTGGGTTAAACCACAGAGCCTAGGACTTGCCGATCAGAAGGTTGGCGGTTTGAATCCCCACGACGGGGTGAGCTCCCGTTGCCCGGTCCCTGTTCCTGCCAACCTAGCAGTTCAAAAGCATGTCAAAGTCAAGTAGATAAATAGGTACTGCTCTGGCGGGAAGGTAAACGACGTTTCCATGCGCTGCTCTGGTTCGCCAGAAGCGGCTTAGTCATGCTGGCCACATGACCCCGAAGCTGTATGCCAGCTCCCTTGGCCAGTAAAGCGAGATGAGCGTCGCAACCCCAGAGTCGGCCACGACTGGACCTAATGGCCAGGGGTCCCTTTACCTTTAAGGAGTCTCAAAGCCGTTAAAAATCTCCTTTCCCTTCCTCCCCCACAACAAACACTCTGTGAGGTGATTGAAGCTGAGAGACTTCAAAGAAGTGTGATTAGCCCAAGGTCACCCAGCAGCTGCATGTGGAGGAGTGGGGACGGGAACCTGATTACAAGTCTACACTCTTAATCACTGCACCACACTGGTTCAATATAGCATATGTATGTGGTTCTCTTCCTCCCCGTTTTATTCTCACAACAGCCCTATGAGGTAGAGTTCCTTCCAGTAGCACCTTACCTTAGAGACCAACTAAGTTAGTTATTGGTATGTATTTGAAGAAGTGTGCATGCACACGAAAGCTCATACCAATAACAAACTTAGTTGGTCTCTAAGGTGCTACTGGAAGGAATTTTTTTTATTTTGTTTCTGTGGCAACATGCTCAGGGAAGCCAGTTTGTGAGTTAAAATGTTAAGCAAGGAAGTCATTTCGTTGATCTAGGCCAGGCCCCCATATCCAGTAAAAACACCCAGACACCCACTACTCAGAGGCACGGAGAGATAGGCTGATAAGGATTACCAAATGAGGACATGGAAGGGTAATGTCCAACTACTCATGCCTTATCTCTAGGCGGAACCTAATGTATCTACTGTATCTGGATATCTCTAGGCGGAACCTAATGTATCTATCTGGAACACAATCTCTAAGCAAAGCAGTTCTTGTCTCTAGGCAGAATCTATTGTCTCTGAGTATGTGTAATGCTGTAACTTTTGATTGGATAAAGACCTGATTCAAGAATGTATAAAGGGAAGCCTCTCCTGTTGGGAGCGGCCGGACTTCGGAACTTATTCCTCCGCGCCATTGCTTGCTGCAGGCAAACAATTAAAACTTTATTGCTTTATTTCTCTGATTGCTGCATGGTCATTGGACTGGCCTAATTGCTACATTTCGACTATGGAAGGCCAATGCTGCTACCTACCTGTACATAGAAGTATGAGGTACAGGTTAGGCTGAGAGACACTGACTGGTCCAAGGCTAGCCAGTGAGTTCTTGGGCCTACCAGGTCCTAATCCAGCACTCTAACCACTATACCACAGAGCCTCTCAAGGCTATCTCTCCTCCATCCCCCTCCTCTGCCCACACCAGTCCTATGGGGTGGGGTCAGACCCAGGGGGAAATGACCAGCCCAAGCTTGTTGGCTGTTGGCTGTAAAAAATATATATGAAAACCTGGTAAGAACTGGAATGGAGTATCATGCAGAAGGGTATATGGCTGGCTGCAACAAGGAACTCTTCACTAATTTTTGTGGCAGGTCCCACCTGAACTAGGGCTTCCATCAAAACTTATTTATACTCTTGAATTTATCTTAATGCTGCCAACGTTTTCAGATGTTTCCCCCATATATTCAATAAACATTTTCCAATCTTCTTTAAACAAATGTTCTTCTTGTTCTATAAGTTGGAGCCGCATGCTGTACATATTCCATCAGTTTAAGTTGCCATTCTTCTTTGGTTGGGACCTCACTTGTTTTCCATTTTGGGGCTAACAAAACAGGGGCCGCCGTAGTGGCATAGATAAATAACCTTTTTTTGACACCCGGGAATTTCCATCTCTTGCCTGACACACTCTAACACACATGCAACCTAGCAACAGGAAAAACACACACACTAAGATACATGTAAGGTGTGTGTATCTCTTTTTCTGGAAATTAAGCACTTTATTGCTACAGGACTAGAGAACAGAAGGGAAGCATATTCCTGCCTCTGTTACCAGCAAAGCAAGGTTGCACCCAGGGCCAGCCTTAGCATTAGGTAGAGCAAGAATGTAAGAAGAGTCCGTTGATGGAAAGCAAATAAATGTATGCCCCACTATCCAAATTCTCTTTATACAAAAAAAATCACTTAGCCAATCACAAATAATTAGTACCCAAACCTCACTATGCACACTGCAGTTTCAGATATCCAAACAGCCAGACCGGCATGTAGTAGTGTAACCATACAAGGCACTGTTTGTGTAGCAACACCTAGAAGGCAATAGGTTCCCCATTCCTGATATAAGCCTTGGGAGTGGACATTTAACAGATTATTGTGCCCAGCCCCAGCCTTCAACAGTTCACCACTGCCTTTAAAACATTGTTGTGTTTTTATGTAACTTAATGAAGAATTTGTGCTAGAATTTGCTTGTTCTCTTGACTTGTTCCATGCCCATCTCCTATTCTTTTTCCAGCTGCAAAACATCCCATGCTTGCCGGGGCTCGTGGGAGTCGTACTTCAGCAACAACTGGTGGGACAAGGGTTTCCCACACATGCAAAAGGAAGATGGAGAGTGATAAAACAAAATCAGCTTGCCCCCTGGCCTAAGAGTTAGGGCAGGGGTCTGCAACCCGCGGCTCCAGAGCCGCATGTGGCTCTTTTACATCTTTGCCACGGCTCCGGGGCGGATACTAGCGAGGGGAGGAGGCGCATTGTGCGCCCCAACACTCCTCACTGTGGCGGGCGCTGTACTGGCTGTGACGTCGCATGGGGGCGGTGCGTGCGTTAGTCACGCACCGTCCCGACGTCACCTTCCCAGATCGCGGCTCCGGAGATATATTTGTTTTAAATGTTGCAATGGTTTTGCGGCTCCCAGTTGTTGTTGCTTTTTCGGAAACGGGTCCAAGTGGCTCTTTTTGTCTTAAAGGTTGCAGACCCCTGAGTTAGGGCATCTAAAGATGATCTGTTTACTGAGCATTCATCCTGATTTGCTTGCACAAAGCTTAAAAGGTTATATGTTCTCCACTCTTCATTATTGCATATTTGCAGGGAGATTATACAATAATGAGCATTCTGCCTGATTTGCTTGCATCGGGTTATTCTATATAACTGTCAATTATTAATTCATCCTACATTTTTCAGAGCATCCCCCCCCATCACTTTTTTAACCATAAAAGATTGTGGATTTGTTGTGCCAAAGTGAGAGACCGCCTTGATCCACTTTACTTCTGCAGTACGTACTAAAGTTCTGGTATGTGATTGAATCTCTCCCGCAAAATACTGACAGTCTGGAGCTTACCTTAAAGTATCTTTTGTAGTATTCATTTCCCTCACTGGAAAAAAAAGGAATAATGTTTTCCAAGTTCTTAGTACAGTATGATACAAAGGTTAAACATCTCTCTTGTGATTATTACTCTTTACTTCCTCTTTGGACTCCTGCTACACGTTTACAACAACAGGCAGGGAATGCTAAAAGTTTCCTAGCATTATAAATCCTGCTGTTCTCACATATATTTATTCTACAGCTTTCATCAGAAACATTTCCCCCCCCCCCCCAAGTGTTGGCTTTGTAATTAATTGGAAAACATGACTGATGTTAAAAATAAACAGGCTTGGGAAAATGCCTGGAGAATTGCTCAACATACTGCAATTTAACAAAGTTGAATTCCCATGGATGTGCATTTTCCTTGATAAAAGGCAGGCAAATAGAATGGGGATTAAAGAGCCTCACTAGTAATGTTTATTAGTGTGAAACCTCTTTCTGCTGGCTGACACTCTGAATGAATCTGTGATAAATTAGCAT